GATTCTGCATCTACTACTATTACTCCACACATCTACCACTATCCAGCATGAATCTAGAGTATTAAGTTCATAAGAACAGAGTACTGCTTTAGGCGGGATGACATGATGTAGAGGGATAAACTCAAGCAATATGATATAAACCTCATCTTTTTATACTCGATGTCAACAATACAATACGTGCTTTGCTGCCCCTACTGTCACTAGAAAAGGACACCGCAAGATTGAACCCAAAGCTAAGCGCTTCTCCTATTGCAAGAAAGACCAATCCAATAGGCCAAACTAAACCGATAATTCAAAGAGACTTGCAAAGATATCAAATCATGCATATAAGAATTCAGAGAAGAACCAAATATTATTCATAGATAAACTTGATCATAAATCCACAATTCATAGGATCTCGGCAAACACATCGCAAAAAGGTATTACATCGAATAGATCTCCAAGAACATCGAGGAGAACTTTGTATTGAGAACCAAAGAGAGAGAAGAAGCCATCTAGCTAATAACTATGGACCCGAAGGTCTGTGGTAAACTACTCACACATCATCGGAGAGGCTGTGATGTTGATGTAGAAGCCCTTCGTGATCGAATCCCCCTCTGGCAGATCACCGGAAAAGGCCCCAGATGGGATCTCACGGGTACAGAAGGTTGTAGCGGTGGAAAAGTAGTTTCGTGGCTCCCCCTGATGCTTTTAGGGTATAAGAGTATATATAGGTGAAAGAAGTACGTCAGTGGAGCTCTGTGGGGCCCACGAGGGTGGGGCGCGCCTACCCCCTGGGCGCGCCCTCCTATCTCATGGAAGCTTCACGGAGTTTCAGACTTCTACTCCAAGTCTCCTGGTTTGCGTTTGTTCCAAGAAAGATCCTCGCCAAGGTTTCGTTCCGTTTGATATTCCTTTTCTATGAAACACTGAAATAGGCAAAAAAACAAAAACTGGCACCGGGCCTCCGGTTAATAGGTTAGTCCCAAAAATAATATAAAAAAGCATATTAAAGCCCATTAAACATCCAAAACAGATAATATAATAGCATGGAACAATAAAAAATTATAGATACGTTGGAGACATATTACGCACCATATCCATAAGTGTACGGTTGCGCCTTTCAGCTACTCCATTTTGCTGAGGCTCACCCGGCATTGAATACTGGGCTACTATGCCAGTCTCCTGCAAGAACTTTGCAAAAGATCCAGGGACTTGGCCATATGGAGTGTACTGACCGTAGTACTCCTCACGGTCGGACCTTACTATATTTATTCTTTTATCATGCTGATTTTCAACCTCAGCTTTGAACATTTTAAATTTATCCAATGCTTCTGATCGTTCTTTGATTGGATATATATAACCATAGCAAGAGTAATCATCTGTGAATGTTATGAATGAGTCATATCCATCCACAATTTTCACCGGAAATGGTCCGCAAATGTCAGTGTGGATGATTTCTAGTGTGCCTGTGCTATGGATTGCACCCTTTTTGATTTGTTTCATATACTTTCCTTTAATGTAATCTATGCAGTGTTCTAAGTCTGAGAATTCTAACAAAGGAAGAATTTCACTTTTGACTAATCTTTTTGTTCTCCCCTTGGAAATATGGCCCACGCGACAGTGCCATAATTTCGATGAGTCGAATGTTCTCTTTCTTTTATTCTGTTGTTTATTCGACGCGGAAACTTGTTCTTTCACATTGCATACATAATAAACTTTTTCACGAAGTGATAACAAATAAAGCTCATCGTGTAGTACAACATCACCCACATAAGCATTATTTAACCACATGGCACACTTGCCATGTCCAAAATTACATTCATAATTATCTTTGTCCAAACAAGAAACACTTATTAAGTTTCTATGACATGACGGAACAAATAAAACATCTCAAAGTAGAAGATTGAATCCATCAGCTAACTCCAAGGAGATGTCACTGACAGATTCAACTTCTGCTTCAACTCCGTTTGCCACTTCAATGCGTCTTTCGCTTCCTAGCGTAGTCCGCGTCGAATGGAATCCCTGTAAAGAATTTGCAACATGAGCAGTTGCTCCTGAGTCAATCCACCAAGTGGATTTTGAAAACGATGTATACAGGGATTCATTTACAAATAAAACTATACTATTACCTCTTTTTGCCATGATTGACTTTAACCAATCAGGGCAGTCGACCTTGTAATGCCCGGTCTTCTTACAGTGTGTCTTTGTTCACTGGGAAAGGCTTTTGTTGATGCTGACAGGGAGCTTTACCATGTGGCTTTGAAGGGGAACTTTTGCTGTTTTGCTTGTAATTCTTTTTCTTTTGATCCTTCACATAGTTGGGTGAACCACCATGTGAGGCTTTGAGTCTGTCCTCTTCTTGGACACACATTGCTATTGTCTTTTCAATGTCCCATGTTCCAGGTGACATATTGTAGTTCACAACAAAAGTTTCAAACTCCTTTGGCAGTGAAGCCATGACTATATGAACCAGGAGCTTTGGTTTGATCTCCAGATCCTCATCCATGGGCTTGAGCTTTGCTACCATATTGCTCATCCTGAGGATGTGCTCTCTTATTCCATGACTACTACCTGTGTAGTGTTCTGTCACCAGTTGCTTTAACACCTGAGTGGCATATATCTTTGAAGAGGCAGTGAACTGGCTCTTTATCTTTGTAAGCAACTCCCCTACGGAAGTGCACTCTGCAATGGAGCCCACAATGATGCTCTCAATTGTATTCTTTATGAATGCCATGCACTTTTTGTTTGCATTGACCCACTTTTGATTTTCTATGGAGTATGACATCTCCAAAGTAGAATAACCCCCCCCTTTAATCCCATGCAGCATCATCATCAGTTGCCGCTCTTACTGGCTCTGTAGGCTTGACCGGCTGTGGAGTGTCCACACCCCAGTCCTGCTCAGCACAGACAAATGCTAGTTCTACTTTCTTCCTCCACTCAGTGTAATTGTCACCTCTGAGTGTTGGAACATCTTTTAGGCAACTCATCAAGTGAAAGCCTCCTTCTCCTTTAGCTGACGAGCTCGAGCCAGAGACGGCCATGGTGAAATAGCGGTCGGTGATGGCGGAGAGTGGGCGAGGTGGTGGCGGTGCTTCCCGTCACTACTGCGGAAACCCTAGACCGGAAGGGATTGTCGGTGGGTGTGCGGCTTGCGACGAACCTCATCATGCGAGCCGCCGGCCCCCACCTCTTTATGTGGCGCAGTGTGACAAGGGCCGCCAGCCATAGTGGGTTGTGCGCCCCCGATCACGACGCGGATCTAAGGGCCCGATGGGCCGTTGGACCCATGCGGAGGAGATCAACGTAACACTCACCTCTGATGTTACTGCATGTCTGCATTTTAAGTATGAGCAATTTTTGGTGTGTTTTGACAGCATCGCCGTCCCAAGACGGACGTGATCGTCGTGCATGGGCCTCCATGTAATAACTATTTTGGAAATAAGGTATATGGTTGCAAATGGTAAAATTTAAGACCCGTCCAGTCACAGTCCGCGCGTGTTCGCGGGTTTCGGTTGTAGATGCTCTAACTACCATGAACAACATCAGGTATGATCCTGCGTGATGACGGAGGCGAGATCATCTACAGCGCATGTAGTGAGCTACGTACATGCGACAACGCTTTAGAGGCGGAGCTAGCAGCGTGCAGAGAAGGCTTGGAGCTGGCCTTGCACCGATCTAGCCTACCTATTCTGGTTGAGGTGGATAGCGCGGAGGCGGTGTCGATGATTACAGCATGCGAGATGGATAGATCATCACATCGTGCACTTATAGAGGAGATTCGTAGGTTGGCTCGAAGCGATGCTAGGGAGATCTTTTTTACTCTTTGTAGCCGTCTGCAGAACAGGATTAGTCATGAGCTGGCCGCCTATGGCCGTAGCACTCCGCGCACAGCAGTCTGGCTTACTGCCGGGATAAATTTTGTTGTAAACCTGGCTCTCGCTGAGAAGCCTCCTTGAGTAATGAGAATTCCTTTTTCCCTGCAAAAAAAAAAAACATCAGATTGTTTGGCATAAGTCTCGCCTCGCCCTCGCTGCTTTGTCCGCTATATTTGAAATATGGTGAGTGGCTGAGTGCTCTGTTTAGCCCACGGAAAAAATATTCCCAAAAGAAACAAAAGTCTCCGATAGGGCATGGAGTTGGGCACCATGATTTCCACTAACAATTATGTAAGTAGTTCTGACAATTAAGTAAGTACTACGAGAGCTGTTCCAGCTCAGCCTCGCAAGCAAAAAAGTCAGAAGGCATCCTTCTCCTCTCCTCTTCCGGAACAAAATCTGGATGGAGTTACTGGCTGGGACAGCTTGCCATCAATTAGGCAGGGGTATGTATGTATTGGTCAATCACCATGAGGTCTAACGGTATTACCGCTGTCCGGATTTATTAGACCTTCTTTTATTTTGGGCTGAAATTTGATCAAAGATTTAACTAAACAAATGTAAACTATATGTCACATATGCTATACTACCGGAAACCTCTTTCAAATACAAATCCAAAAATATACTTTTTGTAGCATATATTTTATATTTTATATTAGTCAAATAGATAGTCAAACTTCGACCTAAATATAAGGGGACTAATAAATCGGGAGGGAGGGACCCGGAACTAGCATGTGCAACTACTCGATACACCCGTCGCCATGCATGTGCAATCGTGCATTGTTCGTGGCAAGAGACCCGCGAAAATGGGGTTGTTGTTTCCTCGTGTCTCATAGCGTGACACCGAATGGATTGGATCATGGATCTGATTCAGAGTAGCAGCAGGAAGCCTCCATGCAGCGGGTAGACAACTAGTATATCTCCATTGGCTCCAAATTAATGGAATCGTATGCTTGCTTCTCCCTCGCCATCCGACCCTGTCGCCTCGTCGCAGCCTACCCCTGTTTGACCTTGAGATGGCGATGCCATCCATAGTTCCACACACGAATCACCTTGCCTACAAGTACCACCTCCTACCTCTGCTATTTCCAGACCCAAGCTATACCACCAAGCTCGTAGCAAGCAAGCATTGAGCAATCAACCATGGCGAGGCTTCAGCTTTCCGTCCTAGCGGCCTGCACCGTCCTCTTCGTGCTCGCCGCCCCCTCCCTCGCCGGCGACCCCGACATGCTTCAGGACGTCTGCGTCGCCGACCTGGCATCCCGTGAGTCATCCTGCGAAATTATGTGTACTTCTTCTTTGCATCCTGGTGTCCTGGTTGTTGCTGACGCGGTGTGTTCGTCCAAATGCTTTGTGGCAGCGATCAAGATCAACGGCTTCCCGTGCAAGGCCAACATCACGGCGGACGACTTCTTCTTCGCCGGACTCAAGAAGGCCGGCAACACCAACAACCCGGCTGGTTCCATCGTCACCGCGGCGAACGTGCAGTCATTCCCCGGGGTGAACACGCTCGGTGTGTCCATGGCCCGCATCGACTACGCGGTCGGAGGGCAGAACCCGCCGCACACCCACCCGCGCGCCACCGAGATCATCTTCGTCACCAAGGGAACCCTCGAGGTGGGCTTCATCACCACCGCCAACAAGCTCTTCACTAGGTTCGTCACCGTCGGAGAGGTGTTCGTCTTCCCGCGTGGCCTCGTGCACTTCCAGCAGAACAGGGGACATGGCCCCGCCTCCGTCATCGCCGCCTTCAACAGCCAGCTCCAGGGCACACAAGCCATCGCCACCACACTCTTCGCTGCCACACCACCAGTGCCAACCGACGTGCTGGCCAAGGCCTTCCGGGTTGATAACGAAGACATCGACGCCGTCAAGGCCAGGTTCAAGTAGGGAGCCTCTGCCGTCGGCAACTCTCCATCCGTTTCGGAAGAAAAGATCTGTTCAGTGTGTTCGTTACTGAATAAATTGATGTAGCATGCCGTGTAGTTGATTTGTTCACGTGTATGTTACGTTTGTTTGTCTTTGAAATAATAAAACGTGTTTTTGTTCCGCGTGGTGTATGTTACATTGATGTGTTATACATCATCGTTTTAAACTTGTCAACAAATCTATAAACCTGTAGTTTCGTCATCTACTAGCAAGATGCTCATACGTTGCATGTGACATCAAGATGCATTTGTACGAGTAGTTTTTTTTTTGAAAGAAAATGATGAACGAGGGAAGACCTTATTTGCAAATGTAGAGAAATGTATGGGTATCTTTTTACAAAATTGTTATAATTTCCTTCCTATTCGTCAGATATAAATCGAACGATCTATATTGCAGGATGGTAGGCACACCATTATTATCAACTCTATTTTTTTAAGAATAGAGATATTTGTTGTAAGGACTAAGGGCAACTCCCATAGATCGACCTAAATGGACACATAATATATAGAGAAAAGTCTAAAGTAAACCTTTAATTTGTACCCTTAGTCTGAATTAGACCTTGAACTTAAAATCCCTGAAATTAGCACCCTATACTCTTTAATCCCGGTCTATCCCGGGTGAATTTTGCTAGCTGATTGTTTGACGCACCGAGAAAAGACGATCCCGACCAGGATCACACACTACTCTTACAGATTACAAGGGCCCATGCATCATAATCCATCTCCTCATTTTCTGGGTCTCCCTCTGAAATGTGTGCAGCAGAAGCTAGCTTGCGAGCACGAAGCATTATGTACAAGCAGCAGCAAGTAGCACACGGCACACAACAGCACAAGCTTGTTCATGCAAACAGAAGTGATACTGAATTTTGCTAAGCTAGCTAGCTCAAGAGCTACCTTATAGGACAGCGTTCATATATACAAAGTCTGAGGGAAATCACATTACAGGTGATAGCAGTCTGCAAGGCGCCTAACCAGCGGCCCTAACAGCACTAAACGAGGCCCATATATAATCCAGTTGAATGTCTTCATACGTTTTCTTCAGGTAATATCTACTCCCTCCATTCCAAAATTCTTGTCTTACATTTATCTAGATACGGATGTATCTAATACTAAAATGCGACTTGATACATCCGGATTTAGACAAATCTAAAACAAAAATTTTGGGACGAAGGGAGTACCAACTTTAGATAAAATATTCGACAGGAATAAAACAAATTGTCTGGGTGGTGTAGTTGGTTATCACGTTAGTCTCACACACTAAAGGTCCTCAGTTCGAACCTGGGCTCAGACACTTTTTTCCTTTTTTGTCCATGATTTTTTGTTTTTGCAATCTCTCAAGATGAATTCTTCCTTGTCCGCTGTTACCCGCGAGTGTCAGTCGTCGTCTAGGGTGATGCTTAGCAGGAAGATTGAGGCGTCGACCTCGTTAGAGCTTCACAGACCACGGCTGGCCGTCAGTGAGCTGTTGCTCCTCTTTGTTTACCTGTGTATAATTGATGTATTGGCTGCAATCCTACTGACTAATAACAATGAGATGAATCAGGCTGGTGGGCTATGCTGATTTATAACCGATGGAAAAATTATTGGTAGCCGCTAGCGCTCTGGAATGCTATCAATTGGGAGGTAATTATAGAAAGAGTGAATTCCCGTTCTTACCCCATATTTTGACATTCTACACTAATTACCCGATTTAGCGAAATTTCATCTATTTTACCCTATTTAGCGAAATTTCTACCACGATTTACCCTGTTTAAAATTTTGCGATTGTTCAGACCGACAGGTCCCAATTGTCAGGTCCAGCCGGCATGCCACATCGGCGGTTTTTCCCCGTCTATTTCTCTCTCTCCTGAACCGGTCCTTGTAGCTTATCCCGACCGGACCGGCCCGATGATGGTCGCTCGCGTCGTGTCCAATGCACAATGCTCGAGTCAGTCACTATCCACAGTCACTCCCAATCGATTGCATCGCCCGTCCAGGCTTCCGACCACACGTACTCGTCAGGCTCACTCGAACCTAGGGTTAGGATTGTCAGCCAGCGGCGGCGGCGGCGCAATTTCATACCTCCTCGAGGCTCGAGCCGCGCTGTATGGCCGCGACATCAAGGGAAGAAACGACACCATGGAATTCGGCTCGTAAATCTCGCTGGCGTCTGGCCACGACATCAAGGACGAAACGACCCTATGGAGTCTGGCTCCATCAAGCTCGCCGACATCGGCGTGGGCGCGTCCATGTACGTGACCCCATCAGGTTGTGCTCAGTTGATGGCGGGTCTTTGGCGACCGCTAGTCTAACAAATCAGTGAGGTCAATGAACAAACAAGCGCTCTCAGTCGTACCCCATTCCACGTGATATTGACCATCTCCATCATATATAGCAATTTGCGTATTCTGAAATTTTCCTGACTCATGCATTGGCCGGTGAGGTGTTTGATTCAGACAGAATTAAGATGCTTATTAGAAGATCACGTGTATGCATATCACCCTTCTGTGACAGAGGTACATTATATTTTTTTTAACATTTTGAATATTGTTGAAAGTCTTTTACTTTCTTGTTTGCTGCAGGATCGTGTGTGTGATTCGAAGGAAGGCAAGCGATGCATGCCGTGAATATTAGTTGGAGGCCAGAGTGGTGCGCCTCGACTAAGGCTTTGTGCATTGGACGCGAGCGACCTAGTCAGCCTGGTCGGAAGAAGCTGCGAGGACCGGTTTGGCATACCAGGTGGATCTGACAATTGAGACCTGCCCATCAGAATGCTCACAAAATTGTAAATAGGGTAAATTGTGGCATAACTTTTGCTAAATGAGGTAAAATGGATGAAATCTCGCTAAATGAGATAATTAGTGTCAAAAATATGAAAATAAAGGGTAAAAACTGGAATTCACTCTTATAGAAATCTAGGTGCTCCCTTTCTATTTGTAGGATTGACCTGGAAGATTTAGGTTATGTCGAATTGTTCTATTCAGCACGTGAGGTGCACAATAGAGGTCAGTTTGGTGCTTCTATTTAGCTTCCCGGACGCGTCTCTCTCCCTCTCGGTTTGGGCCGTTTGGCGCTTCTATTCTGCTTTCCGACTCTGCCATGGTCTCGGTCTGATGTGCGTCCCTATATATATTTTTTAGAAATGAAGAAGGACCCCCCGTCTTTGTATCTAGACGATACATGTAGTTATTTTATTAATTATTCATACAAGACCATACAAAGTTATATAAAAATAAGACTAGAACCACCGTCTAGGCAACATTTGGACTCCGACGCCGTGTGGTCCTTGTTCCTGTCCCATAACCTCCCACGGTTCGCCAAAGTCGAGCTCCCCCGCACGTCGCCGTCGAGCAAGAAGGAGCTGTTCCGGCGCCTCTCCGACCAGCCAGCTCTCCTCCTACACAAGTTGGCGGTACGCTCTCAAGTTCTCAAGCCAGCTGGCTAGTTAAACATGCCGCTTAATTTTCTTTATCGTTCATGCATGCGATACCTTCTTGCAGTTTAATTAATAGGCTTAATTGAATGTCGTTTTCTGTTGAATTACTTGACGCAGAGCATGCAACTGGACAGGGCTACCGGCGCCCAGCGCTTCATGCTTTCGGCGAGTGTGCTGCAGATTCCTGGGTGCAGTAACCTGGCACCTGTAGGTTCACTTTCGAACTGCAGCAAACGAAACAAAAGGTTTAAACCGTCTCTAACCTTATATTAGCTCGGTCCCAAAATGCTTGTTTTAGGTTTATCTTTTTTTTCACGAATACGCAAAGCTTGCGTATCTTTCATTGATAGAAGAAGTTGGAACGAGAATACAGAAGGGGTACATGTAGAATATGAAGTATAGGCTGTGCAAACACAATACATTGACCGGTGCACCAGACACGTATATATGAGTACAGAGAGGGGCCACAACCTCGACTATACAAAGGAAACAGGAGGTGGGCTCAATACACAATATACTCAACACCTCCCCCCCCCCCTCCCCCC